CTCCTTCTTCTTGGGGTAGAAGAGGTAATTAAAAAAAATTATCAAGACTATCTAGTAATTGTTCACTTTCTTGGTTTGTATCTCTTCTTTGTTGAAAATTTAATAGGTGTGGAGGTGAGGTTATAAGTAGAGTATAGGCTGTGTTATCAAGTGGAACTTCTTAAAATTGATTTGGGTTTAATTGATGAATTAAAAGTATTTGAAGTCGAATTCTATCATGAGTATGATGAATAGTTAATAAACTATCCCTTCGGTATAGAGAGTTATTATATTTCCTTCTACACATATCACTACTATAGGAATCTAAAGTATCTACAACTTGTTGTGTAGTGATAGCAGTTACAAAATTAAGGTTGTTGTAAGTAGTAATAGTTGTGTCTTGCCAAGAAGTTTGATAAATAAATTGTCCTAAAGTTTGGAAAAAATTCTAATGTATAATAGGTCTAGTATATAATTTTTTATAGTTAGGGTTAGCGATATAAATATTGTAGTGATTTCTGTCAAGGTATCTGATTTTAGAAATATCTTGAAAAGGTGTATATTTAAAAAATAGAGCAGCAACAATATCCCTTGCACTGCCAATATTTGTTCTGTATCAGCAACTAAAAATAATATTTCTAGCAGCAACTCGAGTAGCCGATGGTTTGTGTGTTACTGATAATCAGTTATGATTAGTTTGGATAATGTGAGTATAGGATTCAGCGTGATAACTAGTAGAGTACCAAGTCCAAAAATACCAAAGTCAATAATATGAATTGGTAGAAAACAATCAATACAAAAATAATCAAATGCGTTAGTTTGAAGTATAGTAGCAGTAAGAGCAGAGTTAAGTTGATGTTGTGCTTGATAGATAACAATATTTTGGTTATAAAACTCTGTTACAGAATCTTCTATAAAAATAATAAACTTCAAATAGTTTAGTAGTAATGTGAAAAAAAATTATCTTCCAGAGATAATTATAAATATGATAGTTAAATAATAAATAAATATATAAAAAAATAATAATAATAAAATAGTATGCATGCGAAGAAGAATTTAAATAATTATAACAAAGAGTAATGATGTCAATTAACAAATTTCAAAATTTCAATTTAATTTAATAACAAAAATAATTTCAATTTTACTATGCCGGCGACTTGCAAAAGGTAAAGTATAAACTTTCTAAACTTCAAAAAAAAATAAATATATACGTAGATTAGTAGTTTTTATACTTTTAAAAATAATTTAAATTCCAATTGCTTTTTTTTTTTTCAATAGCCAATCCTGCAATAATTTTCAAGAGAGTAGTTGTAGTCCAAAGACAATTCAAGAGAGACAGTTTCTAGTAAGCCTTGATAAAATCCTCTAAGATTTTATACTTTTTTCTAGAAATTCTATCATGAGTAGTTTCTTTGAAGTTTGATTTTTATAGTTTTCCTTTTGGCTTTTCTTTTGATTTCCACTAGGAGGTACCAAAATGTTGCAATGCTATAGCCTTCTTAGTATAATTATAGCAAAGTAACAAGATCACCCAGTGTAGTAATATATTTTATAAATATACACGGGGTGGATATGAAGTATATATTTTAACTTCACAGCAGAAAGCAAATGGTTCAAAATAATAATAGTTTATAGATAATAATATTTATTAATAATAAATTTATGATAATAACCTTGCCTGTAGAAATTACTCTAGAGAAGAAATATCACACTTTACAAGTAGAAAAGGGTAAAGGGGTGGGGCTAGATTCTATAAGAAGATAGTGAACTCTAACTTCGGCAGAAGGAGCAAAAGATTCCCTTTTTATAACTTTTCTACAGATAGAAGTGTAACAATATAATTGCTATACTGTGTAGAGGTACTCAGAAGTATTTTGTATAGAGGCACTTGGAGACACTTTGTGTGAAGACACTCGGAGGTACTTTGTATAGAGGTACTCAGAGATATTTTGTGCAAAGGCACTCAGAAGTACTTTGTGTAGAGGCACTTAGAGGCACTTTGTATAGAGACACTTGGAGGCACTTTGTATAGAGACACTCGGAAGCACTTTGTATAGAGGTACTCGGAAGTACTTTGTACAGAGACACTTTATATAGAGGTACTTAGAGGCACTTTGTATCGCATACTATTTTACTTAGCCGCAGTATTACTGTGCCATATTATTTTACCCAATGGAATCTCTTCTATACTAAATATAATTAACTATAACTAATAGGGTTCTATTTTTTATACTCTCTATATTTATTATTTGTACCCTCTATAATGTTAATTCCCGATTTTCACATGATCATATGAAATGATGATCGGTATCTAAAATTCGATTGGACAATATTGTTACATGTATCACGTACCAAGATGTTAAACGATTATCTTATTGACTGCTTGTTAATTATTGTAATAGTAATATAGAAATTACTTGTTCGATTTTAAATAACGACAAGCACTACAGCCGATTATCATTAAAACTGAAATTTTTAATTATAAAATGTTCTGGTTGCATTTATATTGACAATTTGAAAAAAATAAGCATACTTAAAGTGAACTTGAATTTATTTTAAAATCAAAGTTATAATGCAAATAAACTTTTATTTTGTTTGCAAAATATTTATTTTAAATATATCCAACTAAAAACTAAATTTTTATTCTGATTTTTTATTTGTGCATATATGAGCATTGTGCCCAGATTGTCGACAAAGAGCACAAAGCCTTGCTTTATGCTTTACCGATTTAAAGCCGGAGGGATCTCTTTTAGTTGAGTTAGTATTTTGATGATTAAGAGCTCCAGAAGGATGACCTTTGGTATGGACTATATTAGGATTTTGTAATGTCATTAATGGTTCATCGATCATGTTTGTTAATTTATCTTGTGCTACTAACTGCTAAAATTCTGGCCATTCTTAGTATTTTTGTTGTAGATCTTGAAAAGAGGTTGTAGCGTGTCTTCTTGATAAGAATTAACTTCTTCAATTTGTGGTGCCGGTAAAACTTCTGGAATTAGGGTAGGGTATTTTGTGTAAGTTTCAAATTTTTGATATAAGTTGTATGTAAGTTATATGAATGCTGCCAAGGTAAAAGGGTATTTCCATTTTTTAAAAAATTATTAATTAAATAATTTATTAAAAAACGGAGACACCCTTTTCCTTTGGCAGCATTTATATATAAGTTACAATATATTAGTCTATATAAAGTTTATTAATTGTTTCTTATAATATATTGATTTTTAAGTAACCTGGCCAGGTTATAAGAAACAACTAATTAATTTTATCTGGCCTTGGTGTAAGGTTGCAATATCATGTAAGATAAAATATAACTTAAAAAATTTGCCCAACCCTACCTGGAATCCACCAATACTTATGGATATTATTAAGCATTAAACTTTGGTTATTTCCCAAATGCTAAATAAAATGAGTACAAGGCAAGCCCATAGTCTTTGAGAAAGACCCGATGCATGGTAAAAGGGCTCTTGTGCGGTAGCACATTTTATTTTTTGATACTGATTGTTTATCTTTTTGAGCGCAAAGGTTGACACTTTACCCCTAATGTTGGTATACAAAAAATGGTTAGCAGCAAAAGCTAGAATGTGAATGTGCTCTGATGCAACCATGGTGTCGAATTCTTTTTTTTAATTGGTTACTGCTAGGGATATTATTGTATAAACATGATGAAGGTCTTCCATAGATATTTGTAAGTATGCCTTTAATATTGCATGTGAACTCTCAATACAAGAGGTTACAGTAGTTTCTAAATGAAGTAATTCATTTGTTCAGGCTTTCATGAATCTTTTCTTCTATGATATCCAGGTTTCTTGAAGATAGGATATTATGCTAGACTTATTAATATAAGTAGAACAAAAATTTCTCTACTTTACATCAAAATCATCTTTGGTTTCTGATTGAACTACTTTATTCCACTTTGAGAGAAAGCTTTGCCATTCATCACCTTCTGTTTCTTTTGAAAACTGTGGCTTGCAATTTTTTAAAATATTCTTGCTAATGTGCTATATGCAAAGTAGATTTGTTGAATTAGAGAAAATCGTTTTGAGAGCATTCATGAGTGCCAGCTCTCTATTAGTTACAATAACTTTGGGCTTCTGTATTCTGTTAAATAATCTCATAATCTGTTCTAGAGCCTATTTGTAGTTCTCTTCTTTCTCCCCTTTAAAAAAAAAAAAAAAAAAAATATCTTGGAATCATTCTGAAATTATCTGATTTTTTGTTCAAAAATCGATTGATTATGTCTAATTTTCCTGTTGGCATTTACCTAACAGGTCATGTACTTGGTGTCTCACAAGGTAATAATTTGCTAATAATATACAGTATACACGAATCTAATAAAATGCTCACCCTAACTCTATGTGATGCCAGGTAAATAGCCTGTCAGTGAAGTGACTATCGGGAAAATGAACAACAATGAAATTGACTCTGTTCTGAACATTTACAGGGTGTTTATTAGGTATTATATATTTTTATACAATAATCATTTAATCAAAAATTCTTTATTTTTACATCCAGTATAAAAATAAATCCTGTTTGAAAAATCGACTCTGTTCTGAACAACTTTGGAACAAACATTTTTTATATGACTTACCTTTTATAAAAATGAAACAAGAATAAAAAGTGGTATTGAAACTGGTTATACCTATGACATTTAATAAGGGCATTTTGAATTTGTTTGTTTTGTAGATACAATCCATGAGAATTACTGTAGGATATTGATAACTAAGGGAGATTGAGTCATTATGGGCAAAAAACAAATGAGTAACTGAGCTAGAGGTATTATATTTATAATTATAAAAATCTTCTTGAAGTTCATCTATTAATATCTAAATGGAAGTTTGACCAGCTAGATTCTTTTGTTGGAGCTGTGAACGTGCATTATAAATATCACTGTTAATAACTAGTGCTGATGGATCACTTTGTCAAATTGTTGACACAATTTCACGAGAACTTGGGCTAGTGATAGTCATCGTTGCAACAGTTTTCTTTTAGTTTTCTGTGAGCCTGCAAGCAATAGGATGTCCTGACATATCATCAGAAGGATCATAATTATGCTCAGCATTATGAACTTCTAAATGCCACTGGCCACTACGTCGAGTAGCATACAATTCGAAAGAACAGTCGATTAATCTGGTGCTTTTTTTCCCTTCAGTAAAACCAAGAAAGTGAACAATTACTAGATAGTCTTGATAATTTTTTTTAATTACCTCTTCTACCCCAAGAAGAAGGAG